GCTTCCCTTTCTTTTGTCTGCGCAGACTGTCCAGGTCGGTCTCCATGCAGTAGTTTTGCCAGGACATGTACACTCTGAGTTTTGTATTGGGATGAAGACTGCGGCGATTCCAGACTGAGCTATGCAGCTGGCCGAAGGCTTGGTTGAAGTTGGAGTTCTAGTGAGCGATTTATTCTTTGATATTCACATTCCTAGCTAAGGCGAATTCGTGCACTGTTGTGGATTAAGTTTCATTGGCATTGATGTTGTGTTCATTGTGCCGATCCCGTGGGGACCCAAAACTCACACCCAGACAGAATGGTCTGTGCCATGGCTGATGCTGAATTCAGCAAAGTTATTCAGTTTGTTTGCGTTCAGCGGATTTGCCGGTAGTGCGTGTTGGTCTTCGTAGAACTTGTCCTTTACGTCGTCTGGACTGGTCAATGAGAGGCCGTAGGGACTGACGACGGTGGCAAATTTTCTTCACCAAAGAGGTAGGCGCAAACTCATGAGGCGATCGTTAGGGCAGACAGGGTTAGTAGTCCTACGATATCCTTCTCGCTCAGCCTTTGGGCGTCTGCACCAGAAGAACGTTTGGCCTGCACCTTCGTCCTCCAGGGGACCCTGTTGGGAGAACTGGGTATCGTTGAGAACCATGAGGCCCTACTTGCAGCATACCAGTTCTTGGGCGATTGTCATTCTTCTTCTTTCCGGTCGGTTGGTCACTGAGAAGACAACGAACATTTCAGGCTTTCAAAATGAGCGCAGTATTTAGAGCGGCTTAGATGGTGGATGGAGACGTTTGGTTTTGCATTGTGTCTCGACGGGGAGTTTTGCGTCAACAAGTCCCGGTCAGCTTGCGGACAGCGTAATTTCGCAGCATCTTCTGGGCACGTTCTATACCCCTCTCTAGAAGTGAGCAGGCAGTGAATCCGTAGATGGGGCTGTTGAGTCATCCCAGGCAGCTGCTGAATTCCACTATTTATCGCGGTTTTGATTACTGAGAAGACTACCCGAATTAGCCTGGACCGTCTATGAGACTGCTTGCCACTCTCTCCATATGATTTTTATGGTGGGAGGGGAGGGAAGAAGGGAGAATTGGACAAGGGACAGGATTACCAGGAGTGTGGAAACAAGCACTCTCACCACGGATACCCTGAGTTCCTGTGTTTGCGATTAGCCCGTCATTTAAACTTAAACTGATTATTCCACAGTCTTTAAAGCGCCTCCCCCCAAAAGCTTCTAGATAAGGTGAGCATATTGGTAAGAGTGTGTGTTTATGTCTATGGAAATATTTGAAATGTTGTATGCCTTTTCATATGTTCATCATTCTAAAATGACTGACCGGAATCCTCATTTTCGGCACACTAGTGAAAAGGCGGTATGCCTTATTAAGCGTGTTTATACTCAGAGGGGATACGGGTTGCCCGTTACCCTAGCTGCCGGTTACCCGGTGCGTCCACAGGTGGCGGATGATGGGACGGACTTCAGTGAAGGTTGGCTGCGCGATATGCAGATCCAGGTCTGACGAATAAGCAGTCGCGGACCAGCAGCGACAGTGCTACGGGGGTGCAGAGGGCTGAGGTCTGGCACGCTGAAAGCCTCAAAGCCCGATGACGGCACTGTGACATGGCGACCGTAAACCGTCATTAAATAAGTTTGCTTGCCACCGCTGCCTTGTGGTTAGGCTTTTAAGTCAAAGAGCTAGAAGAGACAACCTCGAACAAACAATCTAAGCGGCTGTTGGGGACCCGCCTGTATCCGAAATTCCCAAGAAACCTCATGAAATATTCCCGACTACAGTATTACAACCCATGCTACAGCGTCCGCGGGTACAGACGCGTTCCACCACCGGGGTCCAGTGGTGCGGGTGAATAATATGCGAGCCAGACTACACAATCGGGGACGGACTCTTGGTATTTGGATGCTGGAGTGTGCGAACGTTTTTTGTTGAATAGGTTGCCGCGGCATTTCCAGACAGAGTGATTCGGCCGGTCGAATACCCGGCTGGTTTTGGAGTTCTGACTTGCGATTCCGTCGTTGATTTTAACATTTATCTAAATCGTGCTCCCGAAGAACTTGAGCTCCGCTGACGCTGATACTGGGATCGGTATAGTAAGCATTTAACGCCAGTTAGTGTGGGGCCGCTGTCTTCTTCATGGTCAGGCCGGAATTGGATCAGCCGTAGGTAAAATTATTCACATTTCGCTGCATGCTCTCTTCCGCTGTGGTTTCTACCGCACAGTCATCTGTGAACAACAGGTCGTGGACGCTGACTTCTGATAACCTCGAAGATTATTTCAGATGACGGTTATTGAGCAGGAGTATCTACCAGAAAGCAGACAGGAAATGCTGGGAGACCCGCTGACGAGCCGAACCCCTCGCAGCTGTGTCATGCAGCGACAGAATATTGGCAAAACGCGTGTGTATGGGCTTTTGGCTACTACCTGTGCTGTTAGTGTGGAATTAGTAGTAGTAGTAGTAGTAGTAGTAGTAGTAGTAATAGTAGTAGTAGTAGTAGTAGTAGTAGTAGTAGTAGTAGTAGTAGTAGTAGTAGTGGTAGTGGTGGTGGTGGTAATAGCTCTACTAGTCCCTAGGGTGTACTGCCGTTTAAAATTTAAACGACCTGCTTGTCGGTTCTTTCGGGAAATTGAGTTTTTTTTCTAACCAGGGCATGTTTTTACGAGGGGCTACCATAATAATTTCGCCGCCTCTTCGTTTATCACGGCTTCCCGGGTTTAATGATCCATGCGTTGATGATGATGATAATGGTGAGAAGAAAAAGCAGAAGAAGAAGAAGAAGAAGAAGAAGAAGAAGAAGAAGATGATGATGATGATGATGATGATGATGATGATGATGATGATGATGATGATGATCTCTGCCCGTAAGTAGTCTGGCAGTCCATGAGCCCGAGTTATTGATTCTCCTTGGGACGTTTGTTTCCAATCTGCTAGGTCCCACTTCTGTTCGCCCCAGTGTTCATACGTGCTGGTGCTCGTGCCTGGGGGGGGGGCAGGTCGTGCGTGTGGCGCGTGCAGACAGGGTCACTTGATATGTCGGCCATCAAGCCCATTTCCCGCACCTGTCCACTGACCGGCTCGGACAGCGCCTGGGGCCTGGAAGTGGGAAAGCAGAGTGAGGTCGACGACCCAGCGCATTTTCTTCACTACAAACAATCTGACGCGCTTGAAGCTATCATAGTGTGCCAAGGACCGTGGCTTGGAATGTTGCTGACTGGCAAGAAGGCAGCAATGGCTCCTTCTTAATGTGATCTTAGTGGCACTCCTTTTCCGTCGGGTCCGAGCCAGGTGCGGCGGCACGCCTAGGTGCGGCCCCGGCCCTGCCAGCCCCTTTTGCTGTTGGTTAAAATCCTGGTCATTTACTGTGTGGACCAGGGGGTGGTGGCACGTCTAGGCGCGGGTTCGACCGTGCCATCCGCCTGCGCCCTCTTCCACCACTGGTCTTCTTGACTCTATCTGGACACCGGGTCCGGGTGGGGAGTGGGGGAGGAGGGAGTGCGATAGATGCTGTACAAATCCTCCACCATTATAAACTAATTCGCACTGAATTCACCGTCCCTGCTCTCACCTTGCTGTTGTGCACACAGTGGACATCGTCGGCAACGGCGGTCGAACTATCAAGAGTTTGCAACAGATGCACAGAAATCCCAGTTTCCTTCGGTATCCCACCAAATATAATTCAGTAAGACGTCATGCAGTTGACGGATATGCCTTTGTTCCGTCGCCCTACACCGAGTTTATTAGGGCATACAAGAGGCTTATCTTTATTAGCCCCTTCTAAATTTGTACAGAACGAGAGTTCCTCATTTCGCGATCCTCAAATGAAAGGTGGGCACCGCGGAACAATTTCGGACCATTTCATTCGCCCGTCACAGCCTGGATGACACTATGTTAGCCTTGTCGAGGTGCGTAAAACAGTCGGCTTGGTTATCGACCCAGGCCTAAGCTACTGCTAGCAGATGCACCAAGAATCTTCCCAAACTCTTCCACGGATAACAAAATCCAAGTGATCACACACGAGCCAGGCAGTCGATCTATATCCACTTGGTCACCGAAACCTCAGAGAGCTTGCCCAAAGTCATCGCTACGCTGTCGTGTCCACTTACCAGCACATGCCGGGTTTCTGCCCGGGGCTTTTCTTGTTAAATCACCATAAGTCGTAGTACCAGCATTGCCAATCATTCTAACTTTTGAAGTCATCACTTTCTTGGACGGCATTTCCCCTGCACTGTCTTCTATGAGAAAGGTTTTATTAATTTACCTGGCTTCCAAAGGGCCACTTTGCTACCTCTGTGCTGGTTCACTTGCCGTCCCCTTCCTTCAAACTCTGCCCACGCCAACACTCTTTGAGCACTAGTCAATTCCAATTTAGGATTTTTATGCGCGGATTCCGAAAAGGGACCAGTCCTACGGGTCAGAAAATTGTTTGGTTAAAAGCCCTCGCCCAAAGCTTTCCTTTTATTCAGACTAATTTCTGACTTTTGGATGTGGTAAGCCAGCAGTTGTTCGGAGCAAAGATGCTCATGCCAACTCTGCGAGGAATAAGGATGTCAACGTTTTTATTAGCCGAGGACACAAAAAGGGCGCAGCAGCTCCAGTAGTAGGTTTGGATTCGCAGAACCCCTCTATCGAATCTGATCTAATACATAGAAAAACTGTTAAAATATCCCAGGCCAGTTCATAAATAAACAATAGAAGCAAACAGTTTTCCATGACTTCAGGCGAAGCAGGTTCGATCACTTTGGAACATATTGTAGCCGAATAACCTCATTCGTGGGGTACATGAGTACTGAGGACATGAAGTTTTATTCACACAGTAGGGCGACTCATATTTCAAACAGTCCAGCAAAATTTTATCCTTCTTAACTCCTGTCCTATAACTCCCTCCAGAAATATGTTGCAATTATTTCGGATTGTCTGCAAATGGATCTATCTGCGCAACATCGCAACATTTTTCTTTAAACTCTTCTGACTTATGTCCTAAAACTTTTCACACTTCCCCAAAACTGCCGGCTAAATAATATCGAAATCCCCGCTAAGTGTTCTTGCAGGAATTTTAAAGGACGGGAAAATAATTTCCCCTCAAAACCGCTTTATTGTTTAGTTTTTGGGGAAATTTTTGGACAAATGCATCAACCACGCGGACATCTGAGAGATCACGGCAAGACGCCAGCAGTCGCACTATAGCCAGATAGTTCGAATTTGAACCCAAGCTGCGGCCCCGCGAATCAATATTCGTAGCAAAGAGTCCCTGACGCGTTCACTCTTTGAAAAAGTGTAAACGAAAAGTTTGCACATTCGCGACTGCAGCCGAGTGTACGAGAACCAAGCTCGCGTGGCCCAATCAGCACGTTCAGAGCCTGTGAAATTTAATCGGTAGCTAAAGCTCACTAGATTTCGCTCTGATATTCACAGAGCGTCGGCACCAGTGCATTGAAATTTCGCCGAACCAATCAGCCTGCACACTCTGGTCATTGTTTGGTCATGTTGTGTTATGATGGAAATCAACCTAAGGCCGAATCTCATTCGCTGCCACAGAGCGCAACCAGCAGCGTGTCAGGCAGCTTTGGGCAGACGAAAATGATCTACGACAGCTCAACCATACTTTCGAACATTTCGATGGCGAGCAAACAGGACAATCAAAATGCAGCCGCACTTTCGGCGGAAGAAGGGATCGCCAAGTTACTAGAAAGAACAAAGTACACAATTTCTCAGGAACATGGTCAACGACGCTATGGTCCTCCACCAGACTGGACCGGAGAAACTCCGCAGCGAGGATGCGAGGTTTTCATCGGAAAAATCCCTCGAGACTGTTTTGAGGATGAACTCATTCCTATTTTCGAAAAAATAGGACCAATCTACATGTTCCGCCTGATGATAGAATTCAACGGAACCAATCGTGGTTATGGATTCTGCGTATATACCAATCGTGAAGATACTAAAAGGGCTGTGGACGAATTGAATAATTATGAAATTCGTAAAGGAAAGACAATAGGCGTGTGCCTAAGTGTTGATAATTGCAGGCTTTTCGTCGGTGGAATCCCAAAAAATAAAACGCGCAGTGAGATCTTAGCGGAGATGCAGAAAGTTACGGATGGTGTGAAAGATGTCATCTCTTACCCCAGCGTCACAGATAAGACGAAAAACCGCGGCTTTGCTTTTGTTGAATATGAGAGCCACAAAGCAGCTGCAATGGCCAGAAGAAAACTTATTCCTGGGCGTATTCAACTGTGGGGACAGCAGATTGCAGTGGACTGGGCCGAACCCGAAAGGGAAGTTAACGAGGACATCATGTCGAAGGTACGGAAACATTCTGTTCCCCTTTTTATACGGCTGAGCGGAGTCCAAGTCTTTTCACATCATATAGCTCAAATGTAGGCTTTAAATAAAGCAGTTCTGTAGGAAGCACAGCTTTATACAGACATTTAAAAGTGAGCTCATTAAGTAAATTTCGAGAAACTAAAACCTGAAGTAATGACTTTGGCTTCCATTCTATTATCTCACTTTCGTTTGAAATCTCAACACTGTCTTGTGGCTCACCTGAAATTGTCAACGACTGAGCATTTACAGCATTGCTTTCACCAAATTTTAATGCAAATAAAGGTTTTCTCGTTTTGATGACTTACGAAATGCTTGGATAGCCCCCCAATTATGCCAAGTTCATCGGATTTAGGAGTTATCTTATAATATTTCCAGTATTTATGTAAATCGTCACCTGCTTTTTTTATTCGGACAAATCTAAGGTAAAGATATTGTACGTGAGAAATCTGATGCTGAGCACTTCCGAAGATCGCCTCCGAGAAATCTTCCTGGAAGCCGCCGGCAGTGATCCACAGAGTATTGAACGTGTAAAGAAAATAAGTGACTACGCATTCATCCATTTCAAAGAACGTGAAATTGCGAAACGTTGCATGGAAGCTCTCAGTGGTTCGTTTTCACTTGCTTTAGATCATGAGTTTGCGGTTTTCCCTTTCATTCTACGATTTTATTGTGAGAATGACAATGCCGGAAAGTATAGTTATCTAACTGCACATTTGTCACCCTTTGCCTAACAAAGAATAAGGATCACTGTCTCTCTTTCATGTAATTTCTACCTAACTTACTCCACCACATACTAAGTGGTAAGGTGAACTTTCTAGAACCGACAAGCTGTCTTCAGATCCTTCGGCATAATTTTTCCTAGAGGCCGGAATTTACATATTTTTTCTTCTGTTTAGCCGTACGCGCCACATCTTTAGTTATTTGCTGCCGAAAGCTTGATTTTAGGTCTAAGGTGATCCGTACTCACCCAACTGCCCGCCTCGCGCGAATGACGAACCCCAGGACCAAATAGAGGGAAGGGGGAGTCAAACGTATTTAATATGTGATTGGTTATTGCCGTTTCCCTCGGTCGCACGAACGCGCCTTTCCTACCCATGCTACGTGACGCGAACCAATAAAAACATGCCCGCGGCTGTCAAACAAATCGGTCACCGGGTTTAGCGTGCGGAAACGTCCCCGTGAGGCGTTGAAATTACAGGAGGGAAGAACGTGAGACTATTGTGTTGTGAGTACTGGAAATGCGTTTAATCTAAGGGCCATTAACTTGCAATTTAACGTGGAAATTACGGCCAACATACACACTTGACACGGCCAATACCGTCAACTGCTGGAGCATTTATACTGGAAGACTGTTGGAAATATGGGAACTACACGGCCAGAAAACGTGCTCAGGACATAGTGCCTAGCTCAAACTTGGAGGCAGTCCGTTCGAATTCGTTTAACTTTTTCCGTCTTCTGGTTACACGAGAGCCAGCTCTTCCTAGTCGGCCATTGGACTGTTAAGGGTACTTTTCTGTTTTCCAAGCCCTAAACTGAGCGTGGGATCTGGCTTCAGTTGTATGGTTGACCTGAACGTATCACCGCCTTCCCCTTGTTTTCTGCTAGTGATGATGTTAAATACCTTCAGATCTTGCCGAAAAGGGGCCCATCGTGTTTGTGACTGATTTTTTCATTCGCGCAGACAGTTGGCCCATTTAATGGGCTGAAGTTGATGTCCACTCCCTTTGCTTATGCGCACGATTGCCAAAGTGATTAAGAGTGCAACAATTCTTCCTTCAAATAAGACAATAAAAATCAGGGCTGGGAAAAACAACAGAAAACTGTACTTCATCCGGGATAGGAGCTCCAGTTTTATGAAAAACAGTTTTGCCTTGTCCCATCAGACTTCGGAGAGCAAGCCCCTTTGTGGGCAATCAACCCGATCGACTAAGTATGAGAAAAAAAGTACTGATTATGAAGATAAGGGCATTCTCGTCAAATAATGTTTTGTGGGAAGAAAATAACTCACCAATCGAGGGTTTATGTCATTTAATTTTTTTGAAGGCACCAACATCGACGGCTCGATTATTGAGGTGACCTGGGCCAAGCCGGCGGACAAGGGGGACCCCGTTCGACCTCAGTCGTCTCGGTCAAGTAAACAGCTCATGGACTGGAGCTTCAACGCTGACCTAACAAATGCTGGCAACCTCTTCCTTGACCCCACAGCTGCTATATTTGCCGGCTCCGCTCCGGGTGCACCGTTCCTAATTCCTTCAATGTCCAACGATTCTGTATCAAGTGTCGGTCAGCTGTTGCTCCCGAATTCGGGGTAAGCTCTAAGTAATGTACGGACTCTGTTAACAACTAAAGCTCTTTCACTGAACTTTCGGCCCCACGGGACAAAGAAGACTTATGTCTTGAGGTAGTGGTAGATGTTGAACTTCTGGTCGACTGGTAGTACTATCATACAGTAACTGCTGTTTACTATAGTCTTCCTTCTAGGGTCTTTCTAAAGTTATTGACTTATTCTGCTAACGTTTCAACATCGGTTATCTGATCATTACATTCTCTTCAGGTTTAATGAGGAGAGATGCATTTCAGTGCCACCTTCACTTTATCGGTTTCTTCAGTGGTCTGAGATATCTTAATTTAGTCCTAGTCGTTAGTCCGATCTGGGAGGTGCGTTAGACTGAGTCATTTGAGAATGATTCCGTCCTATAGTCCAGGGTCTTGGTCAAATGTGCTAATTCAAGGGGGCGGAAATTAGGATAAACCAGTTGTCAATTTAGAGTGAGGTCATCGAGGCGTCTGAATTGTACTAAGATCTACAGGGTGTTGCCTTTTTAATGGGACTAGGAGCCCTTCAGGTGATTACATCTCAGTAAATAATGAATCGGTAGGAAAGATTTTCAAGTAGAATCACTTCCAGCACTTTAAATTCTAAAGGCTAATAATTTCTAAATTTCCAGCTCGAGTGGTTTCCGAGTGGGATCGTCAAGATCTGGTCGGCGCAATGCCGCCGGTGGTAGAAGCGCGGCTGCTCAGAGGGAGAGGAAGCATCCGGTAGAAGTGAGTTCAACGACTTCATTATAAGTCCCTTTACCTGTACGTTTACTTTTATATGCAAACATTAAGTAGCATCCAAACTTTCGTCAGGAACCCGCGTCTACCTCAGGAAGTAAAAAACCGTTTAGCAGAAAGTCGGTTTGAGAATTGCGTCGTTCTTTCGTTCTCTGGGAACACCAGTTCACATGTGATCTCTACGAGATATTTTATTTCATGAATTCCTAGGTCTGGAAGATTTGTTGGCCTAAAAACGAGGCTTCCAACTGGACGTGACATTTTTTTAATTCTTGCAACTTTCACAAGGGTGGCGGGGAGGCTTACCAATCACCTCCTGACAGGAAGGTCTGGGAAGATTTGTTTGTACTTCAAACACACCGCAACACCCGAGATGCAGTGTTACAGAACTTGAAAGACGCTCATGATAGTTCGACCGTCGCATCAGACGATGTCCACCGTGTGCTCCACAGCAGGGTGAAGCAGGCACAGTGACTTGTGCGTGAATTAGTTTATAGTAATAGTAGACTGGAACAGCATCTCCCGCACTTTCTCCTCCCAACCTGGATCCGTTGTCAAGACAGAATCAAGAAGTCCGGAGGCGGGGGGGGGGTGCGCAGGTGGATGCACGGTCGAGCCCGCACCTAGGCGTACCAACATAGCCCTGGTCCACAATAAAGACTTAACCAGGACCTTGACCAACCACAACAACAATCAAAACAGCAGAAAAGTCGTGGATGACTGGGCAGTCATGCACGCGACCTCTATACCCAACGAGAGCGCATGCGCATATACTACCAGAAAATCAGGTACCGGAGAACTGCCACCGCACACCAGGCTGATAAGATCGTGGTTTGCTGATCAGGACATAGGAGACGCTCACAAACCTTGCGGCTCAGAAGGGCGACACACAGCCCTGCATTTGCCTGGACCATCATCCTCCAAAGGCCGGGTAACCAGTCAGTCAGCGACTGAAAGGCACTACCCATTAAGTGACACACACTCCTCACGTGCGTGAGTGCCCAACGACCCTCATATTTGGGTTTTAATTAACTGGCTATGAAAAACGGATCGAAGAAGCTTCCTAGTCTGCCATCTTACTGGTATATTCAACAGCCAAATTTGTTACTGTATGCTCTTTCATATTTCACTTAATCTCCCATCGAAACGTAGTATAGGAAACGGTCGGATAATATACTTCGAGGGCCTTTGTTTGAAGCACGATATAGGAGGAGGAAATTTAAATCCCAGATGCGTAGGTATTTGTTGCGTTCACTGACCTGATCCGTTTCACCCAAAGTGGGCGGAAAAACTTTACTTCATGTATCACTGAAAATATTTTCTATCATATTGAAAAGCTTCATGTAGATGCAAAACATACGGACGTTACTCTGGCACTACGTGAGTTTTCCTCCCTATGCCCCATCAAATCAACGGTTACAGACGGGTAGTACCTTTGATTAACCAATCAGATATGTGAGCTGAATCGATTGTTTCCCGCTTTCCAAGGACCGATTTTCAATCAACACTCGAGAGATCTTAAAATTTTCCATCGGCCAGGCTATTGTGCTTTTGTGTACATTTATTTTTCTTGCAAGCGTTCCTCGAGTCTGGAAATAATCGCACTATGCATATCACGGCCAAACATGGAGAAGCTTGTAGTACCGATGGATTTCCGACTGGTTTGCTCTGTTTAGCTGATGAAACACCGGAAATTATACGGCAACTAAAATAGCACGTACAAATTGATGCGCACCCTGTCTGTTCTCATACACCACAAATTGTGCTGCCTCAAGCAGTATTCCTGGTGACCAGCATAGTGGCTTTCTGATTGCACAAATACTGATTGTCATAGATGGTAGGCCTCTTTCACCCAATCCATTCTTAACCTCCTATTCCCCGCTCTCACCGTTCCTTCCTCGCAGAAACTCCAGCAACATCAGTTCAATCCTTTGGTTTATTGCGAGGTTTGTCCAGATTTGGTTTGCAAGCTTTGCCTGCGCTGATTCTATTGCTTGTCAATTATCTCCCCTTACTGTTTCGTGCTACAAGGCTGTGCTCTGCCATAGAACACTTCCACCGTACACAGTCGCATGTGTAGCAACAGGAGTGCACCCCAGATCCTTCCCAACGCCTGCCTTCCTAATCCCCTCTAGTCCCCGCTGTCATTACTGACGTCGGTGGTGCCCTCAAGTGTCATTTTCACCCTCTTTTAGCTTCTAGAAGATATCTGTCAGCGTAACGGCCTGGAGCCGCCAGTATACGCAGCTTTACCGGTGGACATGATTGAATTTGGCAGCGGCGGCAAAGTCTCTCTCTATATCGGTCAGGTCAGTTAGTCTTGTCCAGTGATTTTGACATTTGAGAAAAAAGAGACTGATGACAAGCATAACTTCTGCAGAGTCACCCTCTAGACCTATATGCTGTAAGGGACTAAAATAACTATATACTGTTTTTAATGGAGGTCACACTTACATGTCTAAGAAATGACTAAGGTGTGAGATTAGATCACCAGAGACCTCTAGCGAAATTCTTAACATAAATTCGAGATGACTTGTATCGAGAAGACAACGCGAACATGCCCTTAGACTTAAAAAACGTTAGCGAAAAAGGCAATGGATGTTAGACCCGGTTGCAAGTACTCCCTATGTTATTAAATAATGTCTTTGACTGATTTGTGCTCTCATCACCATTACTGTATGAAGTATTTATGATGAGCCTAGAAAAACGCAATCTGGGTAGGTATGAATTTAACGTCTGTCCACTCCAGCTTCCTGAATTAGCCTGCTGTTCAATTAACCAAGATCGAACCTTGCATTTTTATGCTTAGTAGGGAACGCTGCTTGTAAATGTCCTGGTAGTAACTTGGGCTGATATTCCAGAGAATACCTGTGGCCCAGTGGTTAACACCAAAATGTGAAGACAAATCTGATGAAAGAAAATACTTGGAATGCTTGTAGGTCACGATCCCGAGCCTACGGATTCAGTGTCATACGCCGAAATACTACCGTACAGCGGAGGAAGCCAAAGTCGGGGCAGCGGAAGCGGCTTTCTTCTACCTGCACCAGGCCCACATTCAGTTGCAGATGGCGTTGTCTGAATGTAAGTTTATTAACAGTGTTTTTACTAGTCAGTCTAATGCACAACTTACGATGAGAGGACTCCGTGCGTACATTATGCCAAATTGTTACTGAGTATAACCTCTCGCTTTGGGAAAATGTACACGCAAAGAACTCATTAAAAGACTTGTGGTTGAGATCTCTGGCTGAACTTTAAACCCTACTTCTGTCATTCTTAGGCTAGTTACTTGAGGCACCCTGTGAGGTCGGGCCCATTTCGCTTCTTCAACCAAAACAGAGGTTGTTAGAACAATACTAATGTACCGTTTCGAGTTAATTAATTCAAATAATTTCCTCATGGACGACGGGATGACCCAATTGTAAGATTAGTTATTATATCTATGCGACTTTTCAAGACTCCTAAAAGGGTTCTATAAACCCCTCTGCCTCGGATATGAACAGCTTCCTGCAAACGAGGCTATCTAACACAACCAACAAAACTAATACTAGTTAGCCTCATAACGAGCCATATCATTTTCTGTCTTGTTGATTTATCGTTCGCGGCCTTTCTGCGCTTTACTTAAGTGCTTTCTGAGTTCAGAGATTTCAAGTAAAAGGAACAGGGTTTTTATGATTGGCCATGTGTCATGTATAGTTTTACTTTTAAAAGCCACTAAGACCGGTCTACGCTACCCGCTGAAGGGTATGGAGGTGCACCTGGAGCGCGGGACGTGCGTGTGATTATGCGCGGAACTGCCTGTCAATTGGAGTATGCACAACTGAGCTCGGCGCGGCACTGAATCGGCACAGCACGCCCCTTTCCCCGATTTTTGCACCGTAGGCGTTCGGAGTCGAAGTCACCAAATGCAGAGCAGTTGGCGTTTTCCGGGTGTTGCATCGATGTCAAAGGTCATCGGTAATTTCGCGCATTTTCGCGCAGGCGACTCGGTAGTGCGCGTATGCACCCGCCACGTCGACCTTCGAGCAATCGATAGATTGATAAAACCAATCGGAAGTCGAGCTGCGCCCAGGCTTTGTATATAGCTTGCCCGAGCTGTTTCGTTCGTTCGTCGGCGCAGCCTGCTATGCGTTCAGGCACAGATGCAGGTGAGCGGAGGGGGTGAGCTACGCTCAAAAAGGGCATAACTCTGTACAGATAATGTATGCATTTGTGGACCATGGTGCGTTCGGTGCTTGTGCCACGCACGCAATTGGCAACCAGTGGCCCTAATCGTTCTACTGAGAAAGACCGCAATGTTTACGCTATTTCTCTCTCTCTCTCTGTGTGTCTGTCTGTCTCACATGCCCGCGCGGGCACAACTGTCGACGTGGTCAGTGCCTTCGGCGGCTGCTAGAGTGGCCTACTTTGCAAATAACTCCAGAATACGGTTACTATGGCACTCGAAAATTGGCTTCTATGGAAAGAGGTTAAGCGCGAGATCATCTACTCTCGTTTGCCAGTAACTTAGCGATGAACAGTCTACCTCCACCCCCAGTATTTTGTAAATTATGGTCCTGTGGCCGCATATTGCAAATAAAACGCATTCCTCGATAAAGTGCCCACCTCAGAACGAAACTAGGACAGTTTGCATAAATCACAAATCTTTCATATACTAGGCAGCCAAATTAAAATATAGCACGCCTCTGGGGATGTTTCCACTGGAAGAGGCCCGGTTGTAAATATACACCAGATGCCATCAACCCGTCCTAGCGGAAAGTGACTGTTCATCGGTGCCACGCCAGACCATCCGGTCTGCTCTTCGATGGTTAACGATGTTGGTGATCAGTTTAGTTTGAAGTTGTTTCCATTGTGCGTACTGAGCAACACCTGTTTTATAGGCTCTGGTACAGCAATGCTGGCGGCGGATATCATTGAAAAAGATACATCGAACACACAAGTTCAAGGCAGTGGTGGATCCAAGAAGAAGGTTAGGTCTTCACACAAATCATGCTCGAACGCCAGACGCCGTTCAGAGAAGTCATACTCCAGGCAACCTCACCATACTAAAAACCTCGAAGAAACTTCTACGGTTTCCCAGTCCACGTTGACCCCGACAGAGTTCGATTGGACTACCCCGCTCATCGCAGAGGATGGTCATATGGCCTACATCTCTGGAGAACCTGCTATTCTGCAGCCGGCTTGCTCCGAGGAGGGGTTTGGGGTTAGCCGAATGACCTCTAAAACGGATTCAGCCTCTGAAATGTCGGCGATGCGAGCGGACGACCCAATTGTATACTTGGACGATAGATCGTACCCCCTGGAATGCGATATCAGCACTCGGGGGGACATTGCGAACGTCATTTTACCGACAGACAATTTCGTACCCAGTCTGGAATGTCACCTGGCAACTAATCCCGCTATTCTATGCTCAAACAAGTGTTCCGGGTATGGCCTAGCCTCCGGAGGTCTTCGAGTGGCGCAGACGCCGCTACCCACGGCAGCGCAAATGCCCCAGTGTATGCCAAGCGTGAGCACTTTGCCGACAAACGAAGACTCACAGATTGCAATCAGTGAAGTCCTGTTTGAGCCACTTATTCCCACAACACATACCATGCAGCAGAATATGCTTGTACCGGCAAATTACGTACAAGCTCCAAGTCGGGTTTTCAGCAGTAAGAGTCTTGTTGAGGGAGTTTCGTTTGGTTGAGTTGTTAGGAAATCTTTAGTCTTTTTTCCTTCCGATCTGACCAATCACGCCTTTCCTTTGTTAATCTTAGTGAATAATCCATTCACAAGTACTGCAGCCAGTGGAAACTGCTCCTCAGGCCTTCAACCTCCAGTTGTGCCCATGCTTCTTCAGCAGAATACACCTTCAAGAAATTCGTCATTTCCTCCACTATCAACGACCCTTCAGTGTCCCAACGGTCTATATCCTCCAGTCACAGCTTCTACTGCATTCCCACCAATTTTGCCACTGACGGGAGGCGAGGGAGCCTTACCTCTCGGTCAGGTGCCAAATCTACAACTTCCAAACCACCTTCTCGACTATTCGGCACAACTATTCCCAAATCGGCTGACAGCCACCAACTTTCTCCCCTGCAGTGGTGTGATACCTGCAGGTGCCGTCTTTTTGGACCCCACTAGTATCAACGCAGCAGTTAATGCAATGGGAAATTCGATTAGCCCTCAACAGTGCCAAAGTCCTGGTCTGGGGCCTGGTGGCATTATGAGTCATCAGAACAGCGCCTTGAAGACTGACCTCATTTCTACTGCAAACTGCCAAAATGGCAATAGCGCTTTGGCACCATTTGGCCAAGCGAACGGGTCATCAAAAGTTGGTAATCTTTTGCCTCTGATACAGACCTTATCAACGCCCCTTTTACCACCTTCTTCAACCGCGGTCTGTGGAGGTTCACTTGGACACCAGGCGGGTGCCTCGAACTGCACCCCCGGTCTGCAATCGCCAGTGGTTCAGACGTCTCTGAATGTGCTTTCAATGCCACAGATCAAGATTTCAGTCCAGAGCCTCACCAACCTCGCAGCACAACCGACCACCTCTGCAGTACTCACCGGAAAGATCTCTGACAGCGGCTCCATGTCGCAAGCGTGAGAAGTTAAACAGTGCAAGCCAGATGCTTCCAAGCATAGACACTTCTGTTTGGCTGGTTAGCTGGCTGTGATATTGCTGGAGACGTTGTGGGGAGATCGAAACACCGGTCACTTCCCTTTCCCTCGTGTTTTACTTGTTTTGGGTTGACTTGTCTACCAAATCATTTGCGACATATTCGTGTTGTGTGAGGGGAACCGAAGTCAAAGTTGAACCCCGAGGTGCTTATTTCGACAAAGAACTACTCGACCAAGGACCACTTTATCTGGCGTTTTTATCTTATATTTGAATATAACGAAAACTGTCATATTGCATATTTACCTCATTTACCCCTTCCACAGACAGTACTACTCATATATTTGCTTCTACATTTCCGTCGTACAAACTTGCTCAACTCTACCCGTACATCAGTGTAAGTCGAAAGTAGCAAGCGCCATTTAATCAACATGCACACATGACAAGTCGGCCACCCCGAACGACGAAGTACACCACGACCCCACGAGGTGGGCGCAGTCCTGACTTGAGCATGAATTTGTTTATGGTAGGCAGACTTATGCAACAAATACCACACCCTACCTTCCTACGCTAACTCACTCGCCGTGGCAAGAAAATGCCAGGACTACTGGAAATGGGCGTGGGCACAGCGACTGACAAAGCCAAACGGTCCGCCAACAACCTGGCGCATAGCCCCACATGTACCAGGCTTAATTCAGGGAGAGTCTCAAATGTCAGGTGCGTGGGAGTGCCATAATAGCTATGTTAATAAAAACACTTCAGCCTGGTCCCCCCAGTTCCAAGTAGGGTCGAGTTATCTGTTCGGCTGGCAAGAGCGTCAGATTTATCACAGTTCGGAGTGCACTAGTGCGTCGTAAGGAGGGATTCTCCAGTGTCGGTCTCACTCTCTGTTCTCCCATACAGTCTGTGAGCCAACCGATGACTCGTTTGGACAAAGTGCATGGAGGCACGGCGTGGCGTGAAGGCCAAGGTCTACGCATGCCACACATTTTATGCATATTTTCCAGGAAAAATAATTGGACTTTTAGGGGCATAGAAAATCAACGAGAAACATGCACGCTACATAAGTAGTCATTTTTTTACAGTGCGGCATTTGCATGCAGCCGGAAGGAAGTTCGTTCGAAAGCCGACATCCTGAGGTAACTGAAATATTATAGAATTATGTTGCAGGCTGACCATTTTTACAACCCTACTTAATTGATCTTTTCGAAACGAAAACGCATTTCGGAATTCCGGTTGACATTTCATGAGTTAGCTCACTTACTGTATACGATGTCTGAATATCCTCGGACAGTGTGTACAGGTTAGGAGCTCTTTGAGGTTGTATGCGGGGTTTAGGCACTGATTCTCCAGTCGCAGTGCGATAGACTGGTAGGTCACCGGCCAGACTACAATGTATTTGTGGTGTGCGATCGCAGTGTGAACGGGCTGACACCGAGTCTGCGTGGCCGATAATGGTAGTGATGGGTTTCCTCTACATTCTGGCAGCCTTCTTGTTCCGGTGGGTATGACGATGTCCCGTCAGGGCAAGTCGGGACTGGATCACGGTGTAATGACGAGAAAAGGCAGGGGTGATATTTTCAGGGGACATGCTCGTGATGGTGTTTTGTGGTCTGAGTGGACTAGCTAATTTGGCATTGCAGTGAATCCAAGGATGCCCAGCAGGTCTAGCATGTGCCTTAATTGTCAGCTAATAATGAGTATGTCGTTAGGGTTCGGGTGTTAGTGACGTTCATCCGAGGAAGTCTAATTTTGCGTGCCTCGCGCTTTGCATTGACCTCTCATATTTACTTGGCTTTAAAACTTCCGCTTTAGTTTTACGTCTGTGCTCAACGTCAACCAATTTCATATGAGACCTTTTCGGGGCTGAGGACCGATTTGCAAATGTTTTGAGTAGGCTCTTAAGAGTCTCCTTGTGTCGACACATTTGAACGCCTTGTCTACGAGCCGCTCGGACAGACTCCCCTTGGCCATCCTCGCAACCCAGCTTCCCAGTCGCAGTTATATCTTCCTCAGCAGTGACGTAAATACTAAGAACGTCGGCTCTTTTCAGTATCTACTTGTCTGGGATAATTTCCCCACACTTCATTTTTAGCATTCTCTGAAAATAAGGGGGTTAAAAGTGGGTTGGTTTTCTTGCATAGCCTTGGTAAACTATCCAATTCTTCGTCCTGTACAGGGACGTATTCCGGACGATAGCCCTGTACACCTTCACGTTTGTGTTGGGTAGAAATCAGCGATGATTCCAGATTAAGCGCCACGACCTATCTAAGGCCTGACTAATTTCGGAAAGTCGATACGCAACTTTATCCCCGACCTCGGTGTCTCCAGAGGTCGTATTCCCTGGATGTGCTAATTTGTCCACAGAGTTGGGGCAACATTCACCGACACGCTGAGTTTGTTGTATTTCCTGTTTGATGCCGTTTGACACATTGCCCCTGTCTTCTTCGTGCTATTAATTGGTGGGAGATTTAGGAAGCGGGAGACAGATATCCATTTTACGCTGCGCCTACACTCCAGCTATGATGTTCCCGTAAATTTGTTCGCAAATAAAAGGTCGTAGACACTGCACTTAGATACTTTAGTTTTTGCTTGGATACACTGAATGCGGAGTAGTCGGCTGTCGATTTAGCAGTTAATTTTGATTCCGGGTCGCCCAGGCGTCCGTCAGCGTGGCTGAGAATGTGAGACTGAAGAAGGCCAGAGCAAGCGCACAACCCTGTTTCACCCCATTTTTCATCGCAAATATCTCCAACACTAATAAGTTGTCCATGAAGCGCACCATCATGTCATCTTTGTCTTGACATCTGCGTAATGCGTTCCGGACAGTCAAATTCTCACATAATTCTCCAAGTTTATTATGATTCAGTAAGGTAAATGGTCTTCTTTGGACCCGTGAAGGCAATGTAGAGACCACTGCACACTCCTTTGAATTTTTCTGTAGTTGGTGGCCGCGAAGATACTTTTTATGGTCTTACGGTGTTCGGATTGGCATAACTTTTCTGGAAGGGTTTTCTGCTCCGGATATGTATTCGAGCGATTATGTTGCATGCAATTCTGACAGGAGTCAGTTGCAGTTCCCCCCCAACTGTCCGGTATTCACACCCTATCCCAATGAATTTTAAGTTAAGCAAGCAACTTGGGAACCACTTGCTTAAGACTTACAGGCGTGAAAAATCCGTCAAAGCTGGATCGTCTATACGCGAGTTGAAACAAGTATACGAGGATAAGGCAAAACGAGAGGTGTGCATCGTCGAAAGTTAGTGGACAAACGTCGCCAGAGCTCATACTTTGTCGATATGTCCTCACTGCCAACTCGCGCTCAAGAGCTACCTTGACCCTTTAAACACCACTTCCATCTGTCCCACAGTCACACCCTGATCGAGCCCCTGTTTGCTTTGGTAAGATATATTTCCAGCCGCCTCATTAGAAAGTTTATGGGACGCAAAGGAGACCCACCACCATCTCTCATGACATAGACACAATGGCAAATTGTTCACCCAACAATCGTACATTATGAGAATATGGACAAGAAGAGCGACTGAAAGAGAGCTGTATGAGAGGGTGTAATTTGGTGTGAACAGGCAGTGGGGGAAGATTGGGAGAGAGTAGATCGCAAAGGACCGCGGATGGGGTTTAGGCGTATATGGGATATCTTCGTTATCTTCGCGTTTGATGCGGAACTATTCCGCACTATTAGAGGCAAATTAGAAGGAACTGTTGTAGAGCTGCTGCAATGACCGAGTTACTCGATCAAATCGGAGGAAAATATGACCGGACTTCGACAAGCCCCTCGAGAGACACACACACAGAGAGAGAGAGAGAGAGAGAGAGAGAGAGGATACTAAGATACGTGGTCGTAGCGTAAGTGTGGTGAGAGCCGGTAAAGGAAGTAAGCTGGGTTATCATAAGAAGCGCACAGTTTCCGTTGAAGGCCGGATGGTGGGCGTCAAATGCCAATTCAACGATTATGCGTCTGAGACCCAGGGGTAGAACCGAGCGGCTGCTAAGACTGATCAGGGGAATAACATATATAGACATTTTTGCAGCGCCTCGTTCTCGGGGCAATTAAAGTGAATACGAAAGTCATCCTGACAGGTCTTCTGCGTGTGCACTCCCAGACATAATGAGAACGTAATCACAGAGCTTGAAATCGAGCCGGTAAGTACATTTGTAGAATCAGTGGGCAGGGCTACCAACTACCATCCTACCTAACATCGGTCCAGCTTGCTAGATCCTTAGCAGCGTGAACGGTGGTTATCTATCGACGTGGGATTTCCGACATCTCGAGGGTTCCCAAATGACAGCGCAGGGAAAACAGTTAGGTGAACAATCGTTACTGAGGTTGGAGAATGTGCGGGCAGCTCAGAAAGCAGCTGCAGCATGTCTTCTCGCCAGGCGAGTGCCAGTCCTTGAAGTTATAACCCTCGGCGGGAGACCCCCGGATTTTGTCCGCCTGCAGCCGATCGGTGGAGGAGGCCTCGTCGATTGCCCTCGAGCTCTCGCCGCGTGCTGCCAGGTCTAGCGCGACTCAATCTATTGGCTGACAAGTAGCGTTAGACAGAAAATGAAGGCGACACGAGTAAACGAGCCCGCCGCCGGCAGGGGCAGGACTGCTCATTCGCCTCTTTAACTGTTAGCCACCGAATGCCGTCGCAACTCGGATGCAGTCTAATGAGGCAGATAGGAGTAGAAGAGTGTGCGAAGATGATCATCATGCTGACGCCTTCCAGCTGGTACGCCAAGGCCATCCAGCTTCACTGAAAACGTTTCCAGGCGAACTGGTCTTGCAGAATGATCTATTTTAACAAGTCCATGCATGCAGGCCCGGACCATAACAACCGTCCCTGCTTTATTCGACATCTGAACATAAAACCCTTCAACTTGTTCCTGGGCAGGTGAGGGAAGAGAGTGAGATAGATGCAACGTAAGTATAATATCACTGTAAGGTAACTTGCGTCCAAGTCATGGTCCCCGGGGCCAGCATT